TACTGTTTTTTTCACTGGGGAAAGCTACATATTAAACATTGTACAAAGCCAGACTTTCTTCTCATTCACAACTTTTTATCTTGAAAGAAACAAGTCAAAGGTAAACTGCTTTGTAAGTTGAAAAGCATTGTCTCACCTGTAAAATCTCTTCATTCCACCAGCCTTCAAGTCCACCAGTCTTCTCAGCCCTCATCTGATCTGGTTTCGACAGGAGTCGCTGGTCATCACAGGTTTCTCCCAGTCAGGACAGCAATATCAGGACAGCTGACACTCAGGACACACCTACCGATATGAACAGATGGTTATTGTGATGCAACACTGAATGACCATTAAAGATAGACTAAGTGATAAAATTGCACAATTGGGCAATCGCTTTTGTTGAATATATATGTACAAAATCCTAGGCTCTAGAAAGTTGTTATCTATTGCAACATGCCTCAGACCTGTGAAATGCCTTAGAAAAATATAACTAATTGTAAATTGATGACCATTGTCTCACCTGTACAAACTCACTGTCTTCAGGTCATCTGATTTGCTGGTTTGGACAGGAGAGAAGTTGCCGGTCACCAGGTTTCTCAGAACACGAACATCTGGTCTTGTCGGGTTTAGAATCATCACTGCAGTCAACTGCATCAGTCACCTAGATACATAGACATTAAAAAGTTACATGCTTGTCTCAATTAACACTAAGAAAACTACTACTCGTACAATTTACAATCTAGTTTTCAAGTTCTCACCGATATTCCTCTTGGGTCTTCAAAACTGGTCACTGAGATTTAGACAGGAATCACCGTCACTGTTGCATCAGTCAGCAGCCACCATACAATAGAAACATAAGTTACATACTTGTAATACAGTACTAAGCAAATGGTAGGCAAAATTCAGAATTTTTCTCACCTGATATTCCTCTTGGGTCTTCAAGTCCCCTGGTCTGGTCCAATCCACTGTTGTCAGGTTCAGACAGGAGTCCCAACTACTGCATCAGTTAGCAGTCACCTATTAACTATACACAGACATTTAGAAATTAAATACATGTCTCAAATAACATTAAATAAAAAGAAGGTTGAATATAGAATTCAGATTTTTCTCACCTGATATTCCTCTTGGGCCTTCAAGTCACCTGGTCTGGTCCAATCCACTGTTGTCAGGTTCAGACATAACAGGAGTCCCCACTACTGCATCAGCAGCCACCTAACTATACAAACATTAGAAATTACACACTTGTCTCAAATACCACAAAGTAAACAGTAGGTAAAATGCAGAATTCATATTTTTCTCACCTGGTCTTCATCTGATCCCCAGGTCTGCTCTGGTCCAATCTTCTCTTGTCAGGTTCAGTCAGCAGCCACCTAACTATACAGACATTAGTTGTTAATTACTTGTTACACACTTGTCTCAGATAACATGAAGTAAATAGTAGGTTGAATGCAGAATTCAGATTTTTCTCACCTAATAGTGACCTAGGGTATTCAAATCATCCAAACACCTGCACAGGTTGCTGACCCTCAGAGCACAGTTCACTACAGGATTCTATGAAAAGAAGAAATAATTATATTATCAGCTTGCCATATATTGCAGAAACTTCCATAATAACACTGAACAAATCTTACCAACTATAGATTTAGACTTAGTCAAAGCAACCTTATCTAATGCATTTTTAGAACAGGTGCCCTGTGCACCAATCTAAAAACTGGGTGCACAAAAAAATTATTGGGTGCACGATATAATGAAATAAGTAGAATGGCAGCAAAAACTAATTAAGTTTCATTTCTAAAGAAAAGTACTACAAGTCAACAATCTTTAATTATTATTTATCTGACACTTTAATGTTAAGAATAATACAATTATACATTTAACATCTTAACATACCAAAATCTAAGAAAATATTTGGGTGCACTGGTGCACCCACAGAAAAAAATTGGGTGCACAGCTCCAAATTTGTAACCTGGGTTCCATCCTGGTTAGTTTACGTCCGCTCCCACATGCACCCAGTATTTCGAGCCCTGCCTTTAAACTCCCATTGTTTAAAGTCGTTTATTGCAATGTTGGACAAATTTAAGTGTTGTTCGATGACACCATAGTGACATATTTGTTTACTTCAATTTCAAATTTGTTTTTGGACAGTTTTTAGTATTTGAATATTCTGAATAGTGCTGGTAGAATATAAAGTATTTTTTTGTATTCAGAAAAGCTTGTACTTACGGGCCTCCGTACAAAAGGTCACAGTTCACTGGGCCAAATGGAAAATTCCAACAACAAAAACGTGTTTGTAACAGTTTTAGCAGCGAAATTTGCTCCTAGCTTTTTTCAGTGCCAACCAACACGGAGGAAATATAGTCAGTGTTCCCCAAGACCACGATAGTCATGAAAACAACCTCCCTATTAAAAATATTCAAGTACAAAATGGCCCACGATATTTGTGTGCGACATACCGTTCTACAAAACGCACATTTCTACAGAGTATAACGGTTAACATAACGAATTATAACGTGGTCTGTTGCTACAGGTTTGTTGGGAGTACAAACATGTACATTCAAGGAGCTAATTTGTTGTATTACCTCCCAAGAACTTGTCTTTTTTAGCACCACGCCGCCATGGTAGTCGCCATAATTTTTGTTTCCAGTGTCCAAACTCCGCCCGCCAGCGCCAGGAAAATACGAGTTTTTTCTCTCAAACATCCAAAAAACCGCACACATCCGACCTGGAAAGGCCCAGACGATATACTGTACACTTGAGACGGATAATGTGCGGACGAAAAGCCGAAAATTTACCCCAAAAGTTAGAGAGAATTCATGCACAACTTAGAAGCTTGCTGCAGCTGGTCGAATGGACCGTACCATGTGTGATAATTGCATAGGGGTGCCAACGAGATTAATCATTATTGCTTTTGATAATTAACCATCACCATTTCGCCACCAATCAAAAGTAATTATTCTCGTCCTCCAATTTTAGACTTGTTTTCTTAGTTATGTGCCAAACCCAAAGATCACGATACCTTCTGCCACAGCAAGTGTTTATATCTCCAAATTTGTTTTTTTTGCCCCCCCCCTCATTTGTTAATGTGCGAATGAGGTGTCTCCTTGGTGCTGAACTCACCTTCAGTTCCATGTATTGCAGTTTTGGCCGCAATACTGTACTACTAGACGCTTTGTTTGACACAAAAATACACCCATGGAAAAACGAGAGATTGATGTATTTTAGTCCATATATACAGTATATAGTACATTGAAGCCTGCATATCAACAAGATCTTTATTTCATCAAGTCACATACATTTTCTCAGGATTAAGAAAAAATATAACAGAAACAACTAAATCAAGCATCATAAACTGGATTGAAATTTCCAAACTTTTTGTGCCAAACTTTTTTTATTTCGTCGAATTTAGACTTTGAAGGCCCGCCTTGTTTATTTTTACGCGAGTTTTTTTTTTTTTTTTTGCCGGAGCATCAAAAGATCTAATTACGTACACGTGCAAATTCCAACAGATGTTTTTGAACCACATGGAGATGAAGAAATGACAGTTTTGTTACAGAATTATTTTCTTACAAATATGAGCTAAAACCTTTAAGTAACAAATAAGACATTCAACGTAAATCAACATGTAATACTCTGAAGCACACCACACACGAAAAACAATTCAAGAAAACGCGGCGAAATAAGTTGTCTTTTCAAAGACTGTCTCAAATCAAGAATGGTAACTCAAAACCTACAGAACTAGGCCATTTCTTACAAGATATGACTAAACATGTTGTAACAAGTTCTAACAAGTTGCAAGGTAATAATTTCAGACATACCTGTAACAGCAAGTGAAGTCGTCTCCATACCACGCTACTTCCCAACTGTCCCGCCATTTTGTTGTCTTCTCCAAAATTCGCCGTGTCAGGAAGTCCGCATTTTCTCTTCAAAACTTCACCAGAACGGTACAAATCCACGACGAAAACTTCCCAACGCCCTGCTACACACTTAAGAAACACATTTTACCGACTAAAACTACAAAAAGTACCCAGAAAGTTGGGAAAAAATTAGCCCTAAGTACAACCCTCATGCGAAAGCGCCATTTTGAACGGAACCACGCCAAACGTTGTTTTTACACAGGTGTGCAAAGCAGCCGTCTAATTAATGCCAAACTTGTAATCTAATTATGAGACGACCAATGACAGCGCGTTTCGGTGCACGGCAACTTACATTGTATATGCGACGAAGAAGCAGGACGTGATAATCTAATTACGAAGACTACTAATTTCAATCTCATGGAGGATAAAAAATGCATACAGCTACAGGCTAACTATAGAATTTCTCCTTGGTGCTGAACGCCATCCATCCACACACACACACACACACACACACACACACCATCCGTACACAGCCAAATATGATCGAAAATATTGTTTGAATAATATGAACATGTTTATTTTTTCTTTTATTTCTTCTTTGATATAATATCAATGGTAACTTTAACATTACAATAACGTTATACTTCGACATGTACCGACCGAGCTTACATAACTTAAACTAACAGATAGATCATCATAACTGTGTACGTGTGCACAAAGGTCCACCGTAACGCATGGCAGAACTTTTGAAAGGATGCTGTTCAGACATTCTTCGCAAGAGGGCGTGATTATCTAATAGCTAAGTAACCAAAACCATTGCGAACAGTTTGCAGGAGGGCTGACGAGCAGCAACACAATCATTTCTGTCTGAACTATATTATAAGATTTCGTTCAAACGCTATTTCTTTCCAAACTACTTATATCTAAATATTACTGTTACTTAGTATGTCTGTATATGTAGTCTTATGTCTATGTCTAAAATTGTGTTCTTCGGAAGTATTGTTTTGAGTGGCGATGGTATAGAGACAGTTTGTATGTTTGGGTTCCAGAAATTGCATCCGGCTACGTGACAAGAGGTCAAGAGGTCGGGTGGGAGTTTGTGTAGAAATTTAATGCATAATGGTGTATATTATAAATAGACGATGTCATTACATCGTATATACAACCACCTTCACAGTTCCAATACATTCACGAAAAAAACATTTCCTAAAAGTTTGAAATCTCTTATCCTTTTTTGGTTTTGCTAGTCTTCATCGCTACGTGCTTTTCTGCTGAGTAGCGGTGAGTTGTGACATGTATTGTCTATGTTGCTCTGCAGTTCTGTAAGGATAGCCCCGCACCATGGTGTTTAGTCTTACTAAGGGTGGCATTGAGGCTATGTCACTCTTAGAGCCGGACTGCAGGACAAGCTGCACCCTCGGTCTAACCCTGGGTTTCGGGACGCCCTGGTCAGGACTGTTCTTCTTCTCCTCGCAGCGCGCGCAACACGCCCGTCTTTCCGCTCTCGTCTTGGGCTTGTTGTTCTCGGAACACAGGCGGAACTGTTTCTTCACGTCCGTGGCTTCTCCCGCGGTCTTCAGTTTCATTCTGCTGTGGTTGAGGTTGTAAAGTTTGGCAAGATAGTCTCTGTATGCCGTGGATTCGGTGAAATCTTTCCACACTTTGTAGGAGGGTTCCTCCCTATAACTTATCTTGATAGTCCCCTTTGTGTAGAGGGACGCATCCGTGAATGTCTTTGCTCTTTCTACAGGTCTCTGCGGATGCTCCAAAGTGGATCTTTTTTCCCAGGACGCTCTCTCTCTCTGACTGTAAGTCGAGGTCGTTTCTGGGTCCTTGGAGGTTGTGTCTTGTTCGAGTGCTGAGTTCCCGTGCACCATTGTCGGGTTTCCGTCGGGAATCCAGTTGTTTCCTACCGATATCTGTGAAAAGTGTCCCGCGGAAGTCGAGGAATTCCCGCTCTTGTAGCTGTCCACTGATGACACCGCATCACTGCCGGTGCTGTGACTATTGGTGTCAGAGTGTCCCGAAATGCGCCCCCTAGCGGCTTTCCCCTTACCGCTGCGTCTGTGTGTGACACACACGGGGATAGGGAGACTCCCAAGCCTCGGCAGGTTTTGGTGGTACGCTTCCTTGTTCCTCTTGTTCTTCCTTCTGTTGGATTTGTTGCTGGAGTTTTCCTCGTCGTCCGACAGCCCGGTTTTACAGGGCAGGATCCGCGGCAGATTGAGGTCTGCCCGCACGGGGGCGAGGTTGATCTCCGGGCTCTTCTTGTCCCGAGGTGAGTTGGAGAAACGGACGGCCTCGTCATCAGTAGAGTCGTCCACACAGCTCTCTCCTCTATCTGCAATACTGTGTAAGGTGGGGACATCAGACAATAGATTAGTAACTATATATAAAGGTAACATTTGCAAAGCAAATGCATAATGTTTACCTTCGCATATGGTCTGCTGTGTCAATTCTTACTCAAACATATTCAAATATATATATGGTCAGTCATGAGTCTAGATCCCTGAACTGACAGAATGGTGTCCATAATCAAATATCATATGCTAAACCTGACCATTCTTGACAAACAATTTTTGATGCTTCTTTCTTTCTAGCTCAGCACGACATGTACCTTAAGCCAGCACTTCCCTTAGCAAAGCCTCATCTTTGCAGGATGATATAGAGACGTTTCGCCCCTCCTCAAACTGAAAACTTTGCTCCAGGAGAATAAACGCTCTGAGAACATACGTTTATAATCTCAGCACTGTGTAGACTTTAACTTTATCTTCAGGCCATTGGGCAGCTATTTCTCAGCCCGTTCAAGCAGCCACCACACTTTCTGCTATAAAACTGCAACATGATGTAACCCAACACCAGTTATCATGGTGATAGACTGTCTGGTTCAGGTCATTGACCTTATAGGCTTGGAGAAGAAGAGAAAGAAACTGGCCAAAAAAGAATTGTATAATAGTACACTTCTGGTTTTATTTTTGTCGATTTTCCTCTCAACAAATCACTTTTTTTAAAAAGCCGTAATAAGTCTGATTTTTTTGTTTATTTGCACATATAACGAGATACATAATGAAATTATAAAAGATGGACAAATATGCCGGAGGAGACAACAAACCTTAGTGGTTCTGTCAATAAAACTTAAGAATGCGTAATGTTTTTATTTGCCAACTCTGGCAATCCGAAGTCAAAATACATCGAGAGTGAGAGTGATTATGTGCACTTTGTGCTTTTGAAGTTGAAGACAAAGTTGTATCCATTGCAAATATTTACAAACACCGAGTCTATGGGACGACTATTGTCCGTACAGTAACGTTAACCGCGACCATTTAACTTGTTAGACCGTTAGTGTAACCGACACAGACCGTGACATTGTGATGCTGTTTTCTTAGTAACGTAAACTGTTGTTATAGGATCATGATTAGAAGCCTCAAGCACCGCTGCCATAGTAACGACTTGTTAACCTAAAGATACTTGAAGATTCTTCTTAAAGGCACCCAAAGCGATTTCACGGCAGTAAAACTGGATATTCAAAGTCAATTTCCGTTAGTTTTTTAGTACAGTGATTTGAATGAACCCTATCCAATAGAATATTGACATCTGTGAGGAAAATAATTGTTATGTCGTTCAAGGTAAACAGCTGCTTGATTCGCATGCTTGGCTGGTCCTAGCTACTAGTATTTATGGAGGTACCCTAAAATAAAGGGAGCTTGTTTTCCGGGGCTATTTCAAACGATTCAAGTATGTAATGACGATGACAAAAATTGTCAATTTCATACAAATTTCCTTATCCGTAATTTTTTTTCCTGCCCTGTAATAGAATTGGATGCCTTTAGACTCTAGACGATTAAATATAAGGCGACATCTTCGTATTCGCCAATACTAACATCTACGTACCAGGCTTTCCAGCTGATGGAAAAATGATCAGAAATTGCACAAAAAGCCTGAATAGTATGCCAGATCTAGGAGTGAGCCGGCACATACATTCATACTGCCATAGGAATACATTCATATTGTTATGCACTAAATATGAACAAATTAAAGACAGTCACACAAATAAGTCCATATATACACATGTTAAAATGAATACCTGTTATCCTCATGGTTTGGGTTGGTCGCCACAGTTGAGTTAACCACATTCATCCTTTCAAAGATACGTCTGAAATATGAAGTATGATACCTTAGACCCAAGACAGACGTCACCACAAGGTATACATGAGCCTTAAATACATCGATTCAGAATAACTGCCTTAGAAAATTTCTAAACACTGCCTCATCATCATTCGTTCGACCTCAGTAAAATTGAAATTTCTCTTGAGTAAATTCAAAGATGTGCATGTCTGTGCACCTTTGTTATGCTTGCGTTTGGATTGTGCCACTTGTGCTCAAAAAACACGTGCGTTTGATCTAGCAAGGCAGGTATCCTAAAAGATGCACTAAAACTGTGGATTGTGGAAACGGTTTGCCCAGTGTGACACTCTATATTAGCCTTACCATGTTTGTACAGCCCCAACAGACATGATCCTGACTGTCCATCACAATTAGCAGTTCAACCAATGATAGCATGGCAATTAGTGGTTCGACCAATGAGAGAGCGGCCAGCTGCATGTCCGTGAAATACTGGCATTTGTATGTTCTGACGGAACTAGACGTGCGGCGGACATCTCTCTGATTGGTCGAACCGCTAAAACTGCCATGCTGTCATTGGTTGAACTACTAATTGTGATTGACAGTTACCGCACACTGCGGTTTCTTTAAACGGACAACATTCCTTCCATTCCGTGTTTAAACAGCGTATCGGCAAGGCCATTATAGACTGTCTCCTCGGGCAAGCCTTTTCTCTATATAGACAGAGCAAAGTTTATCCACCACCGGCGGTGTTAGCGCAGCCACCCCCGAGCCGTCACCTCAAATTTGTTCTGTACAGAACATGACATGCACATAGCCTCACCTAGACCTGTGGTAACCTGGCAACCATGATGTCAATTCGCTAAAATCGAAGAACAATTGGCTGAAAAAAGCAATGCAAAGTTTGAAGAGTTAATGATAGGCAAACAAGATTTGGATTAAAAAAAAGCAAAGAGTGCAGTTGGATAGGAGGAAATGCAAGGTTTTGTTGAAGCCAGTGGTTAATAATAAAATAGTTTGCAGATATAGCTTTACCAAAAACAAAAAGAGTATCAGGAAATAGATATACATGTATATTCAAAACATCAAAGAGTCTTGTTGAAATCATAAACCTACACTACTGAGTCATAAAACATTTACCTGACCCAGTTATAGCTTCTATTGTCATGTTGCTATGATATTTGGACCAGTAACGGGGACAATTTAGTTATGCTAACGTTACACTGATATTTTGTGAGGTTCAAGTGAAAAGAAATATAGTTTTCTCAAACATAACAATGAGAGTCAGCACCCAATTTATCCCAAATTTCTGAGATGAATTATATGAAGAAATATTTTTCGAGCTCATGATATTCTCTATACAGTAGTAACTAAAGGCAGTAAAATTTGTGGTAGGTCGTCGTATGATTTTGATGACTTTAAAGTTTCAAGAAGACTGTGAGAAAACCAATTTCTGTCAAGGATTTTAGGCATCCTTTTACTATGAGGGTTACTCTTTTATGTGGCGACGACAGCCCTACTTTTAAGCTTTATACACTAGGCGAAGCAACAAATGGCTTCCCACGTTCCAAATCAAATCAACTGTCGAAGAATAAGGGCATTTTACACCACATTATCTCACTAATGCGATTAGGGGCGTTTCTCGTCCTACTTCTTCCGACTTGAATAAGAAGTATAATCATGTTCTAACATGTAGTGTCTGCACCTGGGTACTATTTGTTAGAACCGAGACAGGGAAAATTTAACATTTTCAGTCTACAAAAAAGAATGTAGACGAACGGTGGACAACACAATAACTTGAATAAGAAGACAAACTAAAAACAGCGAGTAAAATAATCGACATATAATCACATTTGGAACAAAAAATAAACAGGAAAGTGAAAATAGAAAACTATGTAATTGATTTTAATTTAATCCTGACAACAAAGATATTTCTTTCCTTTCTTGTTTTACCCCATGGGTTCTTTTGTGCGTATAATCTTTTAATTGTTTACCTCTTGTCCATGCATGAATTCACTATCATGGGAAAGGGGGGGTGGCGCTTGCTAAGATTCATTTTCAACCAATTGTATATACTTTATTTCCGTCAAAAATGTATACATTTGTTTTTGGATGCGCATTCTGTGTTTTCCTATGTATTTGATTTCATGTGATGGCGTTGAAATAAGTTTTATATACGGACAACTACTTTGCAATACACGTTTTTTTTTATTCCAACATGTCATCACCAGACGTGGTGACGACACACTCAAGTTTTTTCAACTTATATTAATGCACGTTTGTGCATGTCAAGTATTTTTCTTTATTTCCTGCTATATTACTGTTTTAATCGTTTCAAATCTGGTTCATCTAGTAATAATGGCAATTTATCTTTTAATTCAGCAGTAGCACAGGGGAGAGCCTAAGATACACCACCAGTTTTCTGACCCTCCCACGCATGTCTATATATTTCTCAATTGCTATATCTTGTTTTATTTGTAAGTGCAAAAGCAATAAACAATAAAAGATACAAATCATTGGAAAACAAGTCACACATGTCTCACCTGACGCTGGTTCTGAGTTTCGGAAAATAAGGATCCTCCACGTGAACTCCGAACACCACACTCTTCTGTTCCTTCCCCACATCGCCCCGTGTGTGGTAGTACCTGTACTCCTCTATGTACCTCCTGGTGTCGTAATAGTGCCTAAACGCAAAGTCATCCTCCCGCGGTTCGTTAGAATTCCTTCTCTGCTGCTTTGCACGTTTTCTGTTCTCCCCTGTACATCTTTTCCCCTTCTTCTCGAGTTCTCCGAGTTCGTTGTTCGCCCGACTACAGGGTCTGTCCCAGCCTGACAACACCTTCTCTCTCTGACATCCCTTCGTACAGAAGCAAGAATCGTTGTCGGAAAAACGAAGCAGTTCGCTCTCACAGATGTCCCTGGTCGGTTTCGTGGCGACTGGGGGACTTTCAGTGACAGATCCTGCCGCCATAGTCTTGTAAAAATCACTGTATCCAACGTCTAACAATCAGTGCCATCCAGTACGTCCATTTTGGCAAATTAGCGAGTCGCCATCTTGGTTGTAGCTGAGGTGTGTGAGAAAGAGAGTGAGCAGTTAATAACGTTAATGACCTGTCGATCAAAATTAAGTAGTTTGTGTGCTGAGCAATCTTTCTACCGCTGGGACACAAATAAACACCAAGAAAAGGTCTTCACGTATTTGCAAAATAGGCCAAATAGGACGACTTCTGGAAGAACCAAGGTGACATCAAAACTTATTTTTAGTGTTTCTTCAAAACGTGATACAGTCACATGAAACTGTGACCTGATTTGGACCATGACTACCTAAGCACCTGCTTACCAACTCTGCTTGCATCGCTGTTTTTGGCAGGCATATCTTTAGTGGCAGGCGTGATAAAATTACATAAATCACACACATACATAACACTACAAACGTGCCCGCCTAGCGCCACGGCTGTTTACATTTCGACCGTGCTATGGTCTCTTGACCAAGTTAGCCTTGCCGCCAGGTCTTTAAATCCTACTGAATCACCGATTAGCAAACCATTAACACAACGGTCAAGCGACGCAAAGTACATAGATACTCAGTACTTACCGTAAAGTGACAACGGGTGTAGGCGAGGGATAGCCGGTCACGCGAATGTCCCCTCAGGCTTAATGCCTACGTGAAGGCACTACATTCCCCGTAGCAACCCTCATTCCTGCTCATGTTTACGCCATATCTTTTCCCCAAATGTGTACCAAACTTTGTAGGAGAGTAGCAAACTGTTGACACGAATCGTCTAACGTCCTTTGTTTCTCCTCTCCCGGGCTGACATCCACCTGCCCGAGCTTTGTCCGGGCGCCCACTGATCTGTACCGCGACTCGTGTGCTGTTTACGCCCGCCGTATTGTCCCCGAGTCAGCCGGCACCGTGTCGCGAAACTGGACCCGCCTGGGCAGAAAGGAAACAGTGGCGGTTAGGGAAGGAAACAGTGACGGTTAGGCTTACAATAGAAACATACGGGCAGCTGCGGACCAACCTTAGAAGTAGGGCACGACAGGTGCTGCTGTATCCAGAACCGTATTTTATAGTGCTCAAACACGGTTTTGGATAGTCTACGCGTATCCAGAACAATGCCTGGGCAAATCTACCGTCTTGGATGGGATGAGGCTATCCAAAATCGTACCTGATCTTTACCATAACCTTTTCAGGTGCTACGAACTAGACAGTAGACAGGCACGGTTCTGGATACGATAACACAGGAACAAGTACTCACAGAAACACGGAAGCCATCCTCAAGCCCCTACTGAAGCGTAAAGACAGACTGTTTACGTAATTACAGAGATTAAGATCTCCCTGAGGTCACATGGGGGTGCTTTCAGGGTCACCTTTCAGAGATAAGCATCGAGAGGCAGTAAACCAGCTCGATGTAAAAGAACAACAACGTCAATTGTTTGGCCGTCAACAAACGACCATACGTATTTGCTCACAGATCGCCAGGCTTAACGTTTAAGTATGCCTACCTCTTATTGGATAAACTACGTGGGCGACTACATACACCTAGCCTATATGTTACGATGGGAGGTTATGTTTTTCAAAGCTAACTGTACCGGTATACGTTCCATCTGGGAATACGTTTCATAATGACATTAGAATAACTCAAGACGGCAAAAATGAATTGTTACCTCGTCCTATTTTTGGTAGCGTTGGTTTCTTTGGATCCATACATGTATGGGATTCAACACCATAACTCAAGAAGCTATGAATGGATTGTTATGAAATTGAATACGTGATTAGATCTTGACCTACCGAAGAAATTGTTAGATTTTAACCCCGTCTGCTTTCCCGGGTACTGCAGCAGAACTTATGGCAATGATATCTCGTGTTCTGAACATGCTATAGTCATCATCACCATTGTCACAAGGTATAAGCCTAAGGAAGAATTTATTGGATGTAGTAACTGCAGGATTTAGATTTCTAGAAATTCGTTTTTTTTCTAATTTGAAGGTCTGGATATGATATCATTATCCAGCTATGTCATAAATGATAGGTACATACACGTACATAGAGAAAAACATTAGGTAAAAGTATTCTTAGACAACTTCTAAACACTTAGCCTACCTCTCTCTATCCTACTTCTTAGAGAACACACAAACACACACACACACACACACACTCACACACACATACACACACACACACACACACACACACACAACATACACACACACACACACACACACACACACACACACACACACACACACACACACACACACACAAGTTGCATCATTCTGTATAACCCGTAATGGACATAATGGACATACCCTGCACTTTAACATTACTATGACTAATATCAGAATGACTCTCGCTCAGAAATATTAATCGCTAATCACTTAGATGACACGGGTATCTATGGCAAACACTGTTTATACATGTAACCATAAACTGTACCAAGCACAACAAATGATACTTGAGTTACAGAGATCCCCCGTTCATAGCAAATAAACCTTTTTATTGGGCGCTTATAATGAATGACTGTATATGAATGGAGCTGTCAAGTATAAAACAATGCGATTAGCAAACGAAGACCCACGCATTTCGAAAACGACAACAGAAATAGGTTTGCAATTGTAGCCAACATAAAGAGAATACGGAGTTAGAATACGTAGTTAGTCCATGTTGCAAAATATATAGCCTTCTACTTCTGTTATCTACTAATAGAATTAGTGAATTCAATCGGACTTACTGGTAAACGAAATCCATTAAACCAGTTGAAAATTGACCAGAAAATTTGGCTTTCTATGTATATAGATTCGCTTACCTCCGCCAAAATGCAAAATAGATGCACAGAAACGCATATATTTGACGGACATGCAGCCACTCAATCATTGGTCGAACCGATAATTACCATCCTCTCATTGGCTGAAAGATTAATTATGATGGACACTCACGATCGGTCTACACCTCAACATTCCCCTTGCCTCAGCGCCAAGTTTGTTTGGTTGCCCGCCTGCTTACAAGTGACAAATCAACATTGAGCCATTTGCCGTTTATCCTTTATCAAATATTTGTCGGCCGTAATCATATTTCAATCAGTACACAACTCCAATTTAACTTAGAGACCAGAAGATTATAACAATATATCACAGCAGAATGGTATAATTTATTTGCACTTTGCGTCGCGCGCTACAAGAGTAATGTGCTTGCAGGGATCAGCCTGTTACAGACCGCTAAGCTAGAGTGTATACGTTGCTATGAAACTGCAGGTGGGCACTAATAGCTTAATAGCCTTAGGCGACTTTCAGTCGCTTTCAGAGACATAAGGTAGTCTCTACCAGATTAACTACGCTGGCTATATATAGGAGAATATTTGCCAGGGGAGTTTGGCCACATTGTAGGTTTGACTGGCCGTGGAGGGAAAGAAACTACCTCCCCGCGGCCGGACTCTCTTGGCCAATTTTACTCTCTTTTTTGTCGAATTCTACGATCCGTATTCCCGTAGAAAGTCCTGGTGGAGGCTAGACATAAGGCTACACTCATCTCAATTTTTGTTTGTTTTCAAACAAAAAGTTTGCGCCCATACCTTAAATCTTATTGCATAATTATCAATTATAGTCCGTACTAAAAAAACGTACTGGAAAATGGATATGCTGGTGTTGTAGAATGCTCTTTTCTGATCCTCCATACTCAAAGAAGATGTGAAGGAACAAAACTTTAGAATTCATTGATTGGTATCCCAACTTCTGTGTGTTGTCATTTCTTGAACCTTCCTGGCCACTTAGATTTCATGAAGAATGAAAGAATGATATTCTACCTTTCATATTCAAAGAGTTCTAGTTTCTATAACACGCAGCGATGTTCTAGCCTTCAAATGTATCGATCTTTTGGCAAATCTACATATTGTTTACCGACTAAAAAAAGGTCCAGGTCACATGGTGCAAGCTGAGGGCTTTCTTTGTCGTACAAAATCCAGCGCTGCATGCACGCACGAAACCGCATTTTTAAGCACACATTAAAGCAAGCGTAAAGGTATATGGGAAGAAAGAAACAGAACTTTTAAGTGTGCGTAAAGAATGGATTTTGTGCAGGCAATGCAGCTCATAGTCGTTGTGACAAAAGAAGTTCCTACATCCGGCCTATGTTCTACCAACCTGATAAAACTATTTTCGGAAGCTCATAGTCTTGTTACCACCAGGATAGCACTTACACAGCGGACAAATCGACCAGCTTTTCATGTTATAGTCAATAAAAAAAAACAATGAAAACTTCCAAACGTATCACGTAGTCATTTGAGTCCTGAACTAGGTGTACAACACAGACGGTGGATAACTGATATCAGTATCTTCACTATCTCGATGGCAGAATACCTATCTACTCACCTGTGACACTCAGAGAGAAGCGTCCCTGTCCCAGACCAGGTGTACACTGACTACCTGTACCACACCTGTGCCGTCGCCAGGTAACAGTAACGTCTCCTAAGCGCGGGGTTGTTTTCTTACAAGCTGACCTCCGCACGGGACATGCGATCGTCCATTGTTTACTGTCGTGTTAAAAGGCCCGCTTTCAGAACACGGGTTTACATACCAGAAAAGGGGCAACCCGAGTCCTGGTAGATTTTTCTGGCCTTGCTTAGGACGTTAAATCGCATTTACAAGGCCAAGGGTAGGATCTATCTGGTAACAGAATGCACGCTAATTGTGTACTAGTTGTGAACTGAGTGATAAAAGCCAGCAACAATCACTGTACAAAATATAATCTTTAAGCTCATCATAAAGTATGTGTAAAGGTACAGATAAGGGGAAAATTGAACCTTTACGCATTGTTTAAGGTGTGCTTAAAGAAAGGACTTTCAATGTGTGCTTAAAGAATGGAATAGTGAATGTGAGTTGAAGTGTACACAACACAGAAACCTTTTAAGCTCACAATATTTATCTTACTTAAAAGTCCTGTGACTTTGCATGAACTTCCGCCTGAAATGTTATGGTACTAGATTGCATGCTAGTAGGGAACACGAGTTCAACGACTCCATACCATTGCAAAATTTTGTTCAAATCTATGATAACTGCTTTATTTTTCTGATCGATCATGCAAATAAGGTCAAATTTGCATAAATTATATCAACTGGTGATCTTCTCTAACCATGGGGGTAAACCTCCATGCTCCAACTAAAAGTTAGAAATGTGCTCATAAACGCAATTATGCTGAACGCATCAAAACGTAACAGCGAGGCAATCATTGTTTAATCCCAATGCAATGGAGGCACGCAAAGCTGCTCTTCCAGACGAAATGTTGGACGGGTTTAGTTTAGAAAGGGATCACCCACCAGGAAGGATTAGGCATCCAATGCGATTTCAGAGCAACCTTTGTGATATTGACACACACTGCTTCACATTAACACATTTCAATCAGCATACTTTGGGCATTTAAAACTACAGAAACATGCCCCAAAGATGTGTCCTTTATTTTTTTTAGGTGTCACCAGTAACCATTTTCCGTCAGAATTTAGTATGAAATTCAATGTGTGTCACGTATACATATACAGTATTATGCCCCGTGGGATCTTGGTTAGCATTTGTTTGGACAGCGCTGTCCCCATTCAGACAAGATGAACGCCAAGCCAGCAATAACACCACGCTAGGCTGCCACTCTAGACACCGTGGAACAAATAATGTAGCAAACTCTCTGAAACAACATCTCAACAAAGCACACAGGGCGACCTCGAGTCCTCAGGACAGAAGCGGCTTTTTGAAGACGCATACCTGCAACCTGCGTCTATCTGTGTACAGGTACTGATGTGTGTCGGACTGTGGAGCCTTTCTTATGTCCTGATTGACTGTTAAGGCAAGCAAGTACTAGCCTGGGTGCCATCATCCTCCGTAGTTTAATACCACGGCTTCCTACGGTCGAGGTAGCGAGAGACAACAGGGAGCCGGCAGTAACCGCGGAGG